TGGGTGATGGGCATTGAGGAGGGCACTTGTTGGGATGAGCACTGGTGTTGTATGGAAACCAATTTGACAATAAATTTCATATTAAAAAATAAATAAAATAATAAAATAAAGAAAAAGAGCCAGTCACCTGGGCATATGGGTGGCTCAGTTGGTTAAGTGGCTGACTTAAGGCTCAAGTCATGATCTCATGGTTGGTGGGTTCGAGCCCCACATTGGGCTCTGTGCTGACAGCTTGGAGTCTGGAGCCTGCTTCATGGATTCTGTGTGTCTCTCTCTTTTTGCCACTCCCTCGCTTGTGCTCTGTCTCTCAAAAATGAATAAATGTTAAAAAAAAATTTTTTTTTAAGTCAGTCACCAGTATAATATATAATATAATTAAATTAAGACTATTGGAGTCATGAAGCTTTAAGCCATATGGTCATGGCTACATTTAGTCTTCCTAATTAGTTTTGGGAGAGTCTTGACTTATTGGGGTTTTTTTTTGTTTTTTGTTTTGTTGGTTTTTGTTTTTTAGTGTATAACACTTCTGCAGATGGCTTCTCTTACGATTTTTTTCCCTACTAGTTTCAATGTAGGGGCATTTTCCAGATCTTCCCCTTAGATATGTTCTTGCTTTTCCTGTGTATCCACTATTAGGTAATGATTCTTCATTTTTTGTGAAGTATATTCACAGGGTAAGTGAATGAAATGCAATTTAATGTTTTTTGTTCCATTTAGGTTGAAGGTTAAGATTGCTGTTGTTTGTTACACTGTTTTTATCTTACACTTTTTATCTTTGACAGCTGCTATGCAAAGAAAGCCCAAATCATATTCATCTTCTTTAATGGATCAGATTCCTATCAAATTCCTTATTCGACAGGCTCAAGGACTGCAGCAAGAGTTGGGAGGTATTTGTTTTGCTTGCTTTTTACTGCTAACGTTTATTGTTAAAAAATGCGGTACTGTTTATAATGTTATGAAGTGTAATAGGTGCTCGATGGTAAAAAATCCAACAATTCAGAAGTGAATTCCTCTTTACATACCTATCTTACTCCTTGCATTTACCCTTCCCCAAAACCCAGTTTTATTTTGGAATGTAATTTCAGACATTTTTTCCGGTAAGTCGAACCATATGAAATTGCAGGTATTCAACTTTTTTTGACCTACAAAAATACAGTTTCATATGGATAAAGCTAATAGCTACACACATGTAAAACAATTGTTTTTTTAAACTATAAATGGTATTATACCCTATCTCTTTTGGTACTTGCTTTTTTCTTTTGGTGTCTTAGAAATGTTTTTATGCCAGTACATGTAGATCTACCTTATTGCTTTTAATTGCTCCATAATTTTCCATACCACAGAATTACTAGATTTTTACTGTAAAACTGTCAAATAGACATATAGTAATATTTTTAGAAATTCAGGGTTTTTTTAATGTTTATTTATTTTTGAGAGAGAGAGAGACACAGTGTGAGGAGGAAGGGGCAGAGAGAGAGGGAGACACACGATCTGAAGCAGGCTCCAGGCTCTGAGCTGTCAGCACAGAGCCTGTCACAGAGCTCCAACTCACCGACTACAAGATCATCACCTGAGCTGAAGTCGGACATTTAACTGACTGAGCCACCCATGCGCCTCTTAAAATTCAGTTTTTTTCTTAATTTGACACCACTCTTTGTAATGTTTGAGTGTGGGTTTTTTGTTTGTTTCTCTGAAGTTGGAGTTTTCTTTTTCTTTCTTTGTTATGGTTGGTTTCAGGCAGGAACAAAGATGACCTTCTTTGGTCACATTTAGTCAGATGTCTGCATTTATTTACTTATATCTTTGCATAATCTTTTCCAAGGAAATAATGTTTTATTTGACAATGTTTGGCAAGTAACATTTTATTGAAGAGATTATGAAATGTAGATTAATTTTCACTATTGTAGGTACTCAGTTTATGACTGTTTTGGGATAGTCTTAACTGTACACGTAGTTGTGCATTTAGATATTTAAACTTTAAAATAATACCACTTTTGGGGTGCCTGGGTGGCTCAGTCAGTTAAGCAGCTGACTTTGGCCCAGGTTGTGATCTCGCAGTTTGTGAGTTTGAGCCTTGCATCGGGCTCTGTGCTGACAGCTTGGAGCCTAGAGCCTGCTTCAGATTCTGTGTCTCCCTCTATCTCTCTGCCCCTCCCCTGCTCGTGCTCTGTCTTTCTCTGTCTCTCAAAAACAAACATTAAAAAAAAAAAAAAATTAAACCACTTTTGACTGTTGCAGCATTTTTCAAATAGAAATATTAATTTTAAGCAGTTTCTGTGACAAAGGAAGCAGATACTGTCCCTCCTGGGACTGAGCAGTGGTATGATTTGATCTAAGTTGCATAATAAGGAGATGATTGGATGAAAAGTACTGTTATTACACCTAATACTGTTACTACTAGTCTTACAACTCTGATGAGGATGATAATAATAATATAGTAACAACAATATTTTTGTGTCATTTAGCATAGTGGTACTTCATGTATCTAATTAAGACATTTTGTACACTATCATTTATTTTATCGTTATTGATATTATACAGTAATAGTCATGAATAGTCAAACTATGCTATAAGCATAGCATAGCATAGTCTTGTTACAAGCAAGACTTTGATTTAGTAAAAGGAAGTTTCCTATTCCTTTTGAACTTCCTTAACTCTTCTTGAAGGAAGGCCAATGCAGTGTCTTGTAGGTGTCATCAGTACTGCTTTGGTTGGCTGACATACTTAGCTATATGACTCAGGGAACTTTAAAAAATGTCTTTCAGTCTGTTTCCTTACAGTAGAATGAAGACAGTGTTACTTACCTTGAAGGGCTGCTAGGGAGAAATGAAAAAATGTACATAGAATGCTTGAGATCTTTTAGGTACTCAAAGGGGGCAATTTTGATTTTTTACCCATCTGTACCAGTGATTCTTAACTGGGCTGGAAGAGAGCATGTGTTCTTCTATCGAAGCCTGTCAGAATTTCTCAATGAGGCCTTTTTCAAACCATATATGATCTTCCCAAAATGGACATGCTTTTCACCTTTTTTTTTCCTTCCTCCCTCTTGAACTATTGCTATGTCAAGTGACTTTTCCTGATGGGAGACTTTTATATTAGGATAGGGTAGAAGAAAGCTTGAGAACTTTTGATAAAACTTGTAGTTTCCACCTTTTTGTGTATCAAATCACTTGGGGATCTTAAGCAGATTCTCTAGCTGAACTACTGAACAGAAGTTCTCAAATGGTAGTATGCTTGCACATATGAAGTATGAAGTGCACATTCTTTTGGTTTGCCGAAAATGGAAGGGACGGGGAGGGAGAAGATTTTGATATTTGAGAATGAAGAATCCAGTTGACTTTTTGTAAATTTTCAAGGGTTACATTCTGCTTTACTACGTCTCCTTGCAACTAATTACCCACATTTATGCATTGTGGATGATTGGATCTGTGAAGAAGAAATCACAGGAACTGATGCCCTGTTAAGGCGTATGCTACTGACCAATAATGCCAAAAACCACTCTCCTAAACAACTCCAAGAAGGTATAGTAAATTGGATACTCCTTTCACCCTGTTGTAGTACAAAGAGATGTTAGGCTCATTGAAATCTTCAAATCATGCAGAATTTTCCAAGCGTTCCTGGGTATGTAACCATATTTGGTTAATATATTTTAAGTAATTTTCTTTGAGTTTAAGGAGTTTTAGCCATTTCTTTCTGACATGCTTGTATCTGTTTTTTCATAGTTTCTATGTCCATCACTAAACAGGTCACATGGCTTTAGGAAGGTCCGAACTGGTCAGAAATAAATGCCATGGAATAGAGCAATGTACTTGCTGTTATTGGATAATGTTCAAACACTCTCAAATAGAAATATGATATGACCCACATATGTGATTTTAAACTTTCTATAGCCACATTAAAAGTAAAACACAGTCAAAATTAATTTTAATAATTATTTAATTTAATCCAGTATATCTAATGTATTATTATTTCATCATGTAACCAATATAAAAATATTAATGAAATATTTTACTGTTTTTCCATACAAAGTCTTTCAATGTGGTATTTTATATTTACAGCACATCTCATTTTGCACTAGCTACATTTCTTAAGTGTTCAATAGCCACATGTGGTTAATGACTATTCTATTGAAAAGCATAGTTCTGGATACTTTTTACTAACAGCAGTGTGCTGGGTACTTACATCCTATAGAGGGGGCCACCCAGATGGAAGATATCAAGAAGTTTGAATCTTAATGAATGTTACTACCAAAAACAATATTTGGGTATATTTTCATGTTTCAGTCAATTTTTCAAATTAGTCTGAATCACCAAGGAAATGACATTTGTCTTTGGGTCACCAATGTATTTTTTTAAATGGGATTTTTGTTGTTTTGTTTTGTTTTTTTATGATATAACTATACTTAACATGAATTTTTCTTAGGGCTCTTATTTTAAGTATAGCCACTTATGGGCAGGATTGAAAGTTTTATTCTTTTTGAGCAACAGTGTTTCCTTGATTTTTGTAGTGTGTAGTCTGATAGGACCAAATATTTGGTAAGCTGTATAGAAGTTAGATCATGACTGCTAAGTTTTCCTTTTAGCATTTTCAGCTGTCCCAGTAAGTCACACACAAGTGATGCAGATTCTAGAGCACTTGACTCTGCTCTCTGCCAGTGAACTTATACCATATGCAGAAGTATTAACGTCCAATATGAACCAGCTGTTGAATTCAGGGGTTCCGCGGCGAATTCTTCAAACTGTCAATAAACTATGGATGGTTCTTAATACTGTGATGCCTAGAAGGTAATTTCAGTGTATTGTTTCATGTAATAAATAAGTGTATAGCAGTGATTGTATACAATAACCTAAACTTAAATGTGGAAAAAATGGTTGAGTATCTGATAATATAAATCCTTCCTAAAGACTGCTAATTAGAGAGCTGTTATAACTTTAAGGAAAAGGATAAACTTTCTTTGGGGCGCCTGGGTGGCTCAGTCTGTTAAGTGCCAACTTCAGCTCAGGTCATGGTCTTGCGGTTTGTGGGTTCGAGCCCGGCATCAGGCTCTGTGCTGACAGCTCAGAGCCTAGAGCCTGCTTTGGATGCTGTGTCTCCCTCTCTCTTTCTGCCCCTCCCCCACTGATGCTCGCTCACTCTCTCTCTCTCTCTCTCTCTCCCCCTCTCCCTCTCTCTCTCTCTCAAAAATGAATAAACATTAAAAGAAATTAAAAAAAAAAAGAATAAACTTTCTTTTAAGAAACAGAAACTTTAAAGTATTTCCAACTTGAGAAAGTTCTTTAAAAATGAGTTCCTCATGTATGGTCTTTTGTGGCTAATTGTGATTTAGATCACCATTGTATCTTCCAATAATTGCCATGGCTTCAAATTTTGCTGCACATTAAAAATCACCTGGAGAGCTTTTAAAACCCCTAACCCCCAAGTTGTAACCCATGCCAATTAAATCAGAATGTCTGTTGGTGGTCATTAGGTCAGCCATTAGTATTTTTTTTTTTAAGTATTTCCCGGTGATTCTGGTGTGCAGTAAAGTTTAGAGAATACTGGATTAATTATTTTGCCTTTACAAAGATGAGTCTCTCCTGTTCCATATATTGCATCAAAAACACCTGGTTTAAGTAGGTGATGGGGATGGAGTGCACTTGTTGTGATGAGCACCGAGTGTTTTATGTGAGTGTTGGGTTACTAAATTGTACACCTGAAACTAAAATTACACTAGGTTAACTAACTGGAATTTAAATAAAAACAAAAGAAAATACTGTTTAAATAGAGAAACAACCAAAAACACCTAGTAAAAACAGAATGCTGGGCTGGACTTACCTGTGATTTTGATTCAGTAGGTCTGGGAATATTTATGCTCTTTATTTTTTTAAATGCTTATTATTTTGAGAGGGAGTGCGTGTGTGCCCACAAGTGGGGAAGGGGCAGAGATTGAGAGAGAGAGAGAGAGAGAGAGAGAGAGAATCCCAAGCAGGCTCTGATTCAGGGCTTGATCCCACAAACCATGAGATCATGATCTGAACTAAAATCAAGATTTGGATACTTAACCAACTGAGTCCACCCAGGTGCCCCTATACTTTTCAAATTTAATTTTTACTTATATCAGATAAAGAAATACACATAGCTTAAGAACATAAATAGTATATTCCTTCCCATTTTAGACTGTTGCTCCCCAGAGACAACTATTTTCAGCTCTCTTACCTTTTTATTCTGGCATTTATGTCCCCCCATCTATCTCAGTAATATAATTACTATGATTTCCTGACTTTCCAATTTAGAAATTATCTTACGACTTTCCACTATACAAGATAAAGGGTTAGCACTTTTACCTGTTTGCTCTTCCATGAGTTCCTCTTCCCCCAATACATACTTTCCCTTCCTCTGTGTCTCCCAACACAGTAGTATCAAAATTTTTGGTTGAAGCAGTATTCAATGTGCCTCTTAAGTCCTAATTTTATAGGTGACCTATGCAATATCCTTTGATTACAGTCTCTTTCCTATACAACTGCCTTCCTTTATACCTTATACACAAACCCTGAGTTAATACTTTCCTCTTCCATTTGCTTGGGGTTTGTTTTGCTTTTGTTTTTGTTTTGTATCAACTAATTCATCCCTCAACTTCATTGAGAGGAAATTTACTTTACAATTAGTTATAATACATCAGGTAATGTATCAGTAACATTTTTTTGTTGGAAACATTCCTTTCATAGCTTTCCATCTTCATTTTTCAATTTGGGACATGCACAGTAGCCATCCTGGAATTGCTTTTGTCTCTCTTTTTGGATTCCATGTTTTTCTCTTTCTTGGTTTACGTCTTCATTTTAGTGAGTGGAACACACACTCAAGTTGTTCCCTGAGAAAGGGTGTTTAGAGAACTTATTTATTTTTTGAGACTTCCAGGTGTGAAAAGGTTTTTATTCTTCCCATTACATGTGATTATTCTTTAGCCTGGGTGTAGAGTTCTAGCTCAATTTTCCTTTCAGAAATTTGAAGACTTCATCCTACTGAATGAATTGAGCTTCCCTTGTTGCTATTAAGTAATCTAATGATATACCAATTCCCACTCCTTTGTATGTGACCATTGTTTTTTCTCTCTTAAATTGTAGGGTTTTTTTCTTTCACTGTTTTCTGGAATTTCATGATGATGTATTTTGGTGTGGGTCTTTTTTTATTCATGGTTTCATGTGCTTGGCCTTTTTTTAGTCTGGGACTAATGCCTTCGTTTTTTGTTTTTTTTTTTTTAATGTTTATTATTTTGAGAGAGAGAGAGAGCACAAACAGGGGAGGGGCAGAG